GAGAATCAACAAACTGCTCAGATCAGAGAGCGGATTCAATTGCTCCGTTCGTTGGCGCAACCAGTCAGCAGAAGGGAAATACACCAGGGAGAAACAGAAGGAGAAGAGAGTCAGGCAAGTTGGTTGTGGTGGTAGTGTCGACAATAGAAAGAGAGAAAGAGAAAGACCAGTTCTGTGGTCGGCCTTTGCCTGCTTTCTATTGCTCACAGCAGCCTGCCAGCAGAAACCTTCAACAGCTGCGAACGCCTCGCTGCGATAGTTTGTCTGGTCAAATGAAAGCATGCACACAGTAAGAGAAAGAGAAGGAGAGAGAGAGAGAGAGAGAGAGAGACAAACTCGATACTCGGTCAGATTGCTTTTCAGTCTGTTGGTTGTCCGTCTGTTTGGATGTGTGTGGTGTGTAGTGTCAGTCTGTGTTTGTGCTTGCCGTCGCCGAAATTGCCATCATCTGGGCAATAGCAGCAGTGCAAGGTGTCTTTCCCTTCCATTGTTGGCCTGGATGGTGCCGTTTGCCATCATTCTCGCCGAAGCTCTCGTCACTTTTTCCAATTCAGGTGGTGGTGGTAGTTGTGATGGGCACAGCACAGCACACACACACACACACACACACTCACCTGAAAGGTAGCCACAGACAGACACTTCAAACCAGTGCGACACTACTACCATCATCATTGGCGAACGCATTGCCGAACGCACCGCTGCACGGCAGTCATCAATGACAGTGACAGCAGCGGCGGCGTCAGCAGCTGTTGTTGTACTGCTACTGTCAACTGGTGTTGGCCACTGCTGCCCACACACTACCTCGAGTTTCACACTTTGCTGAAGTGTCCGTTCATTCGATTAGTTCTCGATGAATCAGTGATCACTACTGCTCTCCAAACAACAGCAGAAGTGCACTCCTTTACCTCTTCTTCTTCTTCTCCTTCTGGTTTGTTCGTCACCTTGTCCATTGTCTCCACCAGCAGTGGTGTCTGTCAATCGGCTAATTCGTCCATCTCTACCACCTTTCTCTTCCTCTTCCACTTTGACAAAGCTAAGGTAAGTGCTAATTGGCGTCATCAATCAAGCGCCCTCCAATTGGTGCATTGCATTGTGCCCTCACTAGGCGGGCATCCATTTGGGCAGTCTGCTGTCGAAGCAGTCAGAGTTGGGAGAGGGAGAAGAAAAGAAAGAAAAAAAAGTTGTCTGCGTCCTGGTGCTGTCACTGAGGGCTGTCACTGTCTTTTTGTCTGTTCTTTTTGCTTGTGTCTAAGACGTCTGTACGACGACGACGAGGGCAACAACAAGAAGAACAGCAACACCAACATCCCGAGAGATAATCGCCATTGACGGCTGAACACACTACAGTGTGTTCTACTATCAGTTTAGCACTTAGTCCGCAGCGGTAAGCGTCACACCGATTTACTGCCACCACCGCCACCTCTACCAGGTTAACACTAACGACCGTACCTTATCCATATGAGCAACATTACCATTTAGCGGCAGTGCTAGCCGACTGCGACGTTAACCGGCTCTTTGCCATTTTCCCCTCATCTCTTTTTTCGCCTTCCACCTCACGGCTCATTCCCTCATGACCAGCGTGACCACGAGCCCTTGAGGTGGTGCTTTTATGGGCATCACATTTTGCATATACTCAACCTCGCACAAAAATCTGTTTAGTCGTTGATATGTTTTTTTAAAATTTTAAGTTTTTGTTTCTAAAACACAAATTCTAGTCTGCAGCATTTTAACCAGTGCACATCACACAAACATAAAAACAGTTTGTAATTTAAAGCATTTCAGTGCATCTGTTTATACAAATTAGTTTTAACTGTATACACAGCAACAACTGACGTTTATCACGATCATACCTAACCGAAACTTAACGTGAGTATACTTGGTTATGGCATTACAACAAGCAGTTTAACTAACCGGACTCAGCTGATAAAACATATGCATGTTTGCAATATAATAACTTCATCCCTTTGACGTTAAGTGTTTATAATAATAGTAAATTTAGCGTGATGACTAGTAGAACTAATTGCTTTTGTATGACTTAAATTGTAAATGATTTAAGGGCGCATCTTTAGGATAGTTATAAACAGCATGCATGCTAAGAAAAGTCGTTCGACTATTGCGTCGATTTGTTTTTGTTGGTTGCTACCAGGTTATTGCATTTTGCGTGTTGTGTGTGCCAAAGTGCTAGGACAGTGCGTCGAAACTTGGCAACAGATATGCTGGCTCATCTTTGCCGCTTTTCATTAAATCGAATTCCATTTCCCCTGTTTTTCTTTTTGGCTAATTTTTCCTTGCTTGCTAATGAATTAATTATCAAACTCACGACCCCTCTACCTGAGAGTACGCTGGCAAATGTGACGGGAAAAAAATGTTCTTTCTCCTCTTTTTTCTCTCAAGAGCACCAAACTCTCTTTCAGTCTTTTCTGCTGAGTTGTCTGTTACAGCTTTGCTGTTACTGCTGCTGTTGTTGCTGTTGATGAACTTTTCCCCGCACTTTGGCAGTCGTGTCGACCAGTGTTGGCGCAATCATTATTTTATAGACCGTTCATTTCAATACATAGAAAAAAGTATAGTGATTAAAACATTGCAGGCGGCAACCAAAAAGCAAATTAAAGGCGCCTGTGCCGCATGGAAGAAACTGCCTACCGGACAAAAGTTTGCTCTACATTTACAATCATTTTAAAAGTACCAAATTGCACATATGTGTAACAAACATTTTACAATGCTGACTAACACCTTTTACATTAACATTTGTTTTAGAAAAAATCAATTAAAATGTTTTATTGTGAAGTTTAATACAAAAACAAATTATAAAAAGGTCATTGCTATAAATAAATGCTGTTTATTCTTTTACCATAAAAATGCCAGTACAAACATTGCATTAATGTCAATTTTGCAGCAGATTTTTTTGTATAAGCAATAAACATAGCAAAAGATTTACTACATTTGTGGTAAAATTTAATATAGCATTACACTTATAAATTATGTCGTAGCATTTGCATGGGCAACGTTCAACCAGAATCAGTAAATGTGCAATACAATGTCACTGTAGAGTAAAATATGACTCTAAATTGTGCGCAACAAATGTGCACTCAGCTAAAAGAACATAAAAACTTGTTTTGGGTTCACTCATTTCAAACAAAGAGTTTTGAAAAGTTATAAAACAAATCAAAACATTTGTAATTTTTATAGCTATTGTTTAAAATAAACTTAGGTTGAGGTTAATTTTACCAGGCATTGTTTTTTAGTGTTCTCCAACAATATTTAGTTTATGACAAATAAAAGCTGGTTCACTTTTCGCTTTTACTGCGCCTTTCAGACATTGATCACTTCGAAGCTGCTATTACCGACAAATATAGAGCATGTCGTCATTAAGTTGATGCTGATGGTTTCAATTGTTTGCTAACTCATCCATCATGACAGCCATCTGATTCAGCATCCTAGCCACTGCCGCACAGTGATCTGCACAGAGTGACTGGACAGATTAGACCGATGACGCCGGCGATCAACTTTGACTGCCTGACTGACTAACTCAATCGATTGATGATTTCTAGCCAATACTTACCTGGCCATTTTGGCTGAAACAACGCAAAGTGGGCTAAACTTGATTCACGTCAAACGATTGAGCAGTGTGTGTGTGTGGCAGCTTTCTAAGGTTTTATTAGATTACTAATTTGACAGCGCTGTTTTTGCTTTTATACTTCTAAAATAACAAGTTGATTAAAGTTGTAGATGAGTCGTAAGAAAATCAGATTAAGGGCGTTCAGTTGTTGTTTATTGGCAAAACTCAGTTGATAGACAAGGCATCAAAGCAAAGATACATTCAATCTAAAAAATTTGAGCATTCTTAGCAATTGTTAAATATAAAAGTGAACTAAAAACATTATTAACAATTAAAAAATAATTCTCATTAGTGAGCTGCGCGATTTAATCTAATTCATAAAAAATCATAGCAGAATTAAAACAGGCAGCTCAGTTCAATTTGCCGCAATCACTGTGCGTTCATATAACAACTAAATATAACTTCTGCAGCACACACACACACACACAGACACAATCAAATCAAATCAAATCAGTGTAATAGTGAGCCGCCGCTGTTGAACAAAAGACAGTCATTCAATTGAATAATAACAGTGAAACAGGCCGGCCGCAGTGAGGAAACAGTGGCCAGTAGTGCACGATTCCACTACTGCTGCTACTACTCATCTCATTTCATTCGCCATTGTTTGCCCATTCAGCTGATCACTTTGCCGTTATTGTGCCGGTAATGGTCCTCCAGTGTCGGTGTCCTCTCTTTTTCTCTCTCTTTCTTTCTGTCTCTCCATTGGCATTATCAGTTCAGCATCATCAACACTGCCACTGACCTGAGAGCAGTGTGGCACTGTTATCACTTGAGCAGTCTTCTGTTCTTTGCCACCACCACCACCACCATCATCATCATCAACAACAACAGCAATTGCAGCACATCTGTTGCCGTCTGTTCAGCTGTTGAGCACGTAATTGGCGGTTGCAAGTGCTCATAAGACTCATAAGACAACCAACGCGCTAACGTCCCTTTCTTCTCCTTCTCTTTCTTTTTCTCTCTTTCCTTCTCCCGTATCTGCCACAGTCTTCTGTTTAGGCAGCATTTTCATAATTGTGCACTGGTGTGCAGCAACTGACAGTTGGGCGCAGATTACTAGGGGAAAAGGTAGCAGTGGTGCTAGTGCTAGTGGTGAAGGTAGCCAGCGAGTACTGTACCTGCGTAATTTTTTTGTTTTCATTTACCTCTTCTTTCCTTTCTCGTTCTTGTACTTATAAAGAAAAGTTGCTCTAATTGTCTGAGTGCATTTCAGCAGTCGAGGTTAGTCCAACTCCGTTTGTCTTTTTAATGGCACATGTTATGGCCATGTTTTGAGCTGTTTGTGTGTGTGCTATTTAGAACGTCGCTGTTGTTTTTCAACCAAAATAGCTAAGTTAAACTAATGTTCACTGTACATTTTAATTGTTTCTCCCAAATACAGAACTTCCAATGGATAGCCAACTGGTCTGGGCGCCAGACCCGGTCGACGGCTATGCCCTCGGCCGGGTCGTTGACATTGGCGCCGGCAATTTGGCCAGCATCGTTTTGGCGTCCCCTTCAAAAACGTCAAAAACGCAAAAGATAGAGTGCTCTATTGATCAGGTGTTTCCCGCGGAAACTGATCTAAAGAAGGACTACGATGACAACTGTGAGTAAACTGTGTGAGTACTACTGTGCAACTTGTTTTTAAAACTTTTATTCAAACTTCTAGGTTCACTTATGTACCTCAACGAGGGTAATCTACTGCACAACATTAAGCTTCGTTATGTTGGAAATAAGATTTACGTAAGTTTTTTTTTGCACAGGCGTTTGACTAATTAACGTCATTTATAATTGCCTTGTTTGCGCTAATTAATATGGCGCAAGCTAATTTTGACATTTCTAATGCATTTCCTGATGTATTGTTTGGTTCACATTAAACACACAGACATACGTTGCCAATATCCTCGTGGCACTTAATCCTTACCATGACCTGAAGGCAAAGTTGTACACTGCGGAAGTGTTGAAAGCCTATCAGGGAAAGTCATTGGGAAAAATGCCGCCGCATGTTTTTGCAATAGGTAAGTTTTATAATGAAATTTTCGAATTTTGAGGTCAAGTCTTGGTAAAAAATATCGATAACTAAAAATGTTTTATCTATTTTCTAGCTGACAAAGCTTTTCACGACATGAAACGCACCTCTCAATCTCAGTCCATAATCGTCTCCGGCGAGTCTGGTGCCGGCAAGACCGAGTCAACGAAGTACATTCTCCGGTACCTCTGTGAGTCCTGGTCCGGCCCGTCAGGCGCCGGAGCCATCCAAATTGAGCAGCTAATCCTTGAGGCTAATCCAATCCTGGAGGCATTCGGCAACGCCAAAACGGCGCGCAACAACAACTCGTCGCGTTTTGGCAAGTTCATCGAGATATACTTTGACCGAAAAAAGGAGTTTACTGTTGCTGGCGGCCACATATCGCACTACCTGCTGGAGAAGTCGCGAATCTGCGGACAGAGCGGCCAGGAGCGGAATTACCACATCTTCTACCAACTGTGCGCCGGACTGCCCGAGGCGCAGTGGAGCAAGTTGAAGCTGGGCGCTCCGGATAAGTTTTACTACCTGCGCAAGGGTTGCAAGCGGTACTTTCTGACGGCTGCAGAGGACAAACAGCTGCCGGCGGGGCGAAAGTCGGAGCAGGTGAGGTTTTGTGCGTTTAAAAGTAGTGTTTAACCTATCAAAAATGAACTGTTTTTAACTGCAGCACAAGAAAGAGGGCTACCTGCAGGACTCGATCGTCAACGACCTGGCGGACTACCGCGCCATGGACTCTGCGCTGGACCACTTTGGCGTGTCGCCGGCGGAGAAGGCGACCATCTACCAGATAGTGGCCGCCATACTGCACCTGGGCAATGTCCAATTTGAGGAGGCGGCGGACAACAGTGCGGGCGGCTGTCGCGTGGACGGCGCCTCCCAGGAGGCCCTTCTCAACGCCTCTGCACTGTTGGGCGTCGAAACTGAGCAGCTGCAGCAGTGCCTGCAAACTCGAATCATGCAAACCAACAAGGGCGGCTACAAGGGCTCTACCTACATGGTCCCCCTCAAAGTGCACGAGGCGAGCAACGCCCGGGACGCCCTCGCCAAGGCCATTTACTCCCGCCTCTTTGACTACATCGTCAGCAAGATCATCAACCGAGCGCTGCCAGGCACAGTTACCGGCGTCGGTCGCCAGACCAATGACTCCCACTCCATCGGCGTACTGGACATTGCCGGCTTTGAGTACTTTCAAACGAACTCCTTTGAGCAGTTCTGCATCAATTACTGCAATGAAAAGTTGCAGAACTTCTTCAACGACCGCATCCTCAATGACGAGCAAAGTCTCTACGAGCAGGAAGGTCTGGGCGTGCGACGCATCGACTACGTCGACAACCGGGACTGCATTGAGCTGTTTGAGGCGAAGGGAACGGGAATCTTTGACCTGCTCGACGAGGAGAGCCGCCTGCCAAAGCAGTCGGTGGCCCACTTTACGGAGGCAGTTCACCGCGCAAACAACGGCAAATTCCGTCTGGACATTCCCCGGCGGTCAAAACTGAAAACCCACCGGGAGCTGCGCGACGACGAGGGCTTTCTGGTGCGGCACTTTGCCGGCGCCGTCTGCTACCAAACAGCCCAATTTTTGGAAAAGAACAACGACACGCTGCACACTAACCTGGCCTTCCTCATGATCGAGTCCAGCAATGGCATGCTCAAGGCGCTCTTTGAGTCGCCCACCAAGTCAGCCTCCGGCGGCAACTTCATCACCGCCTCGGCAATGACCGACAAGTCGGTTCGCCTGTCCGCCGAATCAGTTGGCGGGAAGTTCCGCAAGCAGCTGGCGGATTTGATCGCTCGCCTGCAGTCCACGGGAACCCATTTCATTCGGTGCATCAAGCCGAACCTGAACATGGTGGCGCAGTCCTTCGACGGCGCCTGCATCCTCTCCCAGCTGAAGTGCTCCGGCATGGCCTCCGTCCTGGCGTTGATGCAGCACGGCTACCCCTCCCGGGCCACCTACGCCACCATCCGCGACCTCTACGCGCCCTTCCTCCCGCCCAAGCTGGGTCGCCTCGAGGCACGTCACTTCTGCATGGCACTGGTGAAGGCTCTTGGCCTGGGCGACTGCCGCTTCGGCGTCACCAAGGTCTTCTTCCGGCCGGGCCGCTTTGCCGAGTTTGACCAGCTGCTGAAGAATGACCCCGCCTCACTGGAGGAGCTGGTAAAACGGGTGCAGCGGTGGTTGATCTGCTCTCGCTGGCGGCGGCTGCAGTGGTGCGCCCTTTCAGTCATTAAACGTATGTGCTACAACTTTTTTTGTTTGTGCTGATTAATTTTTTTATTCTACAACTTTGTTTTTTTCATTCATTCGACCAAATTAGTCAAGAACAAGATCGCCTACCGCCGGGAGTGCACTGTGATCATTCAAAAGAACATGAGAATGTTTCTAGAAAAGTCCAAGTACCGCCCGCGGTACATTGCCCGCCTGGAGTTGCGCAAAATTCGCGGCCGCCTGCAGCAGCTGAACTCGCTGGTGGAGAAGATCAGCCTAGAAAAGGAGAAATCATCCTTCACGCAGAAGCTTTCTACCCTCGACCTTTCCATTCAAAAATTGTTTACTGAACACTTTGGCCTGCCACCGGCGGGAAAAAAGGTGGAAAAACTGCAGAAGGCTGAGACGGAGAAGACGCTGGCCGCTGTTCGCCAGCAAATTGACGGCCTAATGCGTGATCTGCAGGCAAAGCTAAGCGAACAGGAACGCCTGAAGAAGCTTCAGGAGGAGATGGAAGCGGAACGGCGCAAACGAGAGGAAGAGGCAAAGGTGCAACGAGAGGCGGAGGAATTGCGCAAGAGAAAGGCAGAACTGGAGGAGAAAAAACGACAGGAGATGCTGGCGCAGCAACAGCGAGAGGCGGAAGAACGAAAGGTCGCAGAAGCAAAGGTGAAAGCGGCGGCCGCCACTGCCGCCACTGCATCGGCGAGCAAGGGCGTCGCAATTGCCACCCAAACTGACAACAGTCAACAGTTTGACAGTCTAACTTATCAGGTAAAAATGATCATTTTCTGTTTTGTTTTTTGAATGTACTTATTTTTGTCCATCTTTTATTTCAGATTAACGAAGAGGAACGTCGCCGTCAAGTGGAGCACCTGAAGCGGCTGGAGCAGGAGCGACGCGACTACGAGCTGGCCGTCCGCCTCTCTCAGCAGGACGGCAATGACCTGCAGCCGGAACAACCCTCACCGCCCACCGTCGCCAAGTCCCTGAATCCCTTTCATTCTGAGCATCACGGCGGTTCTTCATTGGAGCAGGCGAGCAGTCCGTCCGCCTCGCCGCACGGCAGTCCGCAAAATCGCAAAAAGTACAGTCTGGAGTCGTGGAACTACGCCCAGCTGCGCGACACCATCAACACCTCCAGTGATATTGAACTGCTGGAGGCGTGTCGCGAGGAGTTCCACCGCCGACTGAAGGTGTACCACCAGTGGAAGTTCAGGATGACCAACAACAAGTCACAGGGCAGCAGCGGCAACAACAGCAGCAGACTGAACATGGCCAATGGAAGCTCGCTGCAGGCGGCAAACGGTATAAACATTCTTGGTGTGTTTTTTTTCCAACATTGACACTTTCTTTGTTCTTTTTTTATGCAAACATTTAACAGGAACCCAAGTGNCAGCAGACTGAACATGGCCAATGGAAGCTCGCTGCAGGCGGCAAACGGTACAAACATTCTTGGTGTGTTTTTTTCCAGCATTGACACTTTTTTTGTTCTTTTTTTATGCAAACATTTAACAGGAACCCAAGTAGCCGCCGATCCGTCCACTCGGGCGCCAGACATTGTGATGGACACCTTCTACAACGCCGACACACTGCCCAGCGGAGGTGGGGCCGTTCTGATGAGGGCGATGAACAATGGCAATATCAGCGGTGAAAATGGCGTCAAGAATGAGCAGCGCTACTTCCGGCTGCCGTTTGGTAGGCAGAGTAGTGATTCGAAGGGGCTGTGGTTTGCCCACTTTGACGGTCGGTGGATCGCCCGACAGATGGAGATTCACACTGAAAAGGAGCCTATTCTTTTAGTGGCTGGTAAGTCTTTTTTTGGTGTTTTTTGCTGTTTCAATTTTGATTGACATGTTTAATTTACAGGTCGTGATGACTTAAAAATGTGCGAATTGAGCCTTGATGAAACTGGACTGACGCGGAAAAAGAACGTTGAAATACTGGCTGAAGAGTTTGAGTCAGAGTGGCGTCGCAATGGCGGGCAACCTTACTCCCGTGCATTGACTGACCTTTAAAAACTATACCCAATTTTTAATTTTTACACACTTTTAATATAAAGTTTCCATAATAGATTTTACAAATTTTTGCATTTAAATTGATATTAATAATTTGTATTTAAGTAATTTAATAAAAATAATGTTGTATTCTAAAGTTCTTTATTGTTTTTTATAAAAAAAGATTATTTTAATGCAAGTTTTCAAATTTTTTATGCATTTTATATGTTATTAAAAGAAACTTGGCATAAAGTATAATAAATTTACTAAATGAATTCATTGTGACCAGACCAAATGTTCCATAAGTAACGCCATATTGTTTTGTTGTACACAATGTATAAATGAGTTTCGCAAATTTAAGTTTGTTTTTTAAAGTAAAGTCCGCTTGTTTATCATGTACTAAATGATGGTACAACAGTTTAAATGGTTGGTGAATTCTTTTGGAGTAAAGGGCCATCATGTAATGACAACCAAAAAGTCCAATCATTTGAATACAAGCAAATGAGCATAAAAGCAGTATTTCAAAGTTTTTAAGATGCTTGTCAAAAACAATCCATAAAACAACGCGCAAATTAATTGGGACATCTACAACAAAAAATATTAAAAATATGTTTCCATATACCCAGTTTCCAGTGTTGATGTAAAAAAAATTAGTAACTATAATTGAATGTAAAACGGTAATGTAATGATTGTTTAATTTAAAATGACCCGTTAAATATTTCCAAATTTGTTCCATTCTGGTAAGAGCTACTTGAGTCATTGCTAGGCCCATAGTAAAAGATAGTAACCAAATATGTTTGAGGCCAACGAGAACAAAACTTGCAAGTATTCCATTTACGATAAAAATTAACAATCTAAGATAACTAATATATGTGAAGAAAAAATATTGTTTATTACTGACAACAAAAGAAGCCATAAATATATGCATGTATAACAGAGAAAAATCTAAACAATATTTAAAAACAGGTTAAAAAGAAAGTAATTAATTGTAGGCAATTTCTTACAAAGTCCTGCAGAGAAAATGGGTCCAACTATTAGAGGTTTAACTGCACATTGACCGATGTACTCGCACACGTGAATATTGTGATGTTTTGACCAAATAAAAC